CGTAATCTAAAAAAACAAGAACCAAAGGAAATTGTAGACACTTAAATTCAAATGGGGGTTCAGATTAAATCATCGGTATTCTTTGGATTGGATTAAGATTATATCTCCTTTGAACGTGCCACTGATAATTTTTTCTTCGGTCAAGATTTGTTTCATTTTTTTATACGTCAGTCTTGTTCCACTATCAGACAGTAAATGTGCCGCGAGCCTGCAGATTGGGGAACGCAACACCCATCACTTTTGGAGCGAACGATCTTGGAGTGAATGCAACAGTTTGACAGTTTACTATGATTACATATTTCAATAATACTGCTCGTTCACTCCAATGTGCATTCGATCCAATGTACAGTACATTTTAAAATTTGTATTTTCCACAGGCCCGTCTACTTCTGGAGCTGACTGTACCCTTTGGATCGAATGAACATTGGAGTGAACGAACAGGCAAATAAATTGTAAAAATACTTTTTGGAGTGAACGATTTTGGAGTGAATGCAATAGACCCGCAAATGCCGGGCCGATACAAAGGACTTTGTGCTTTCATAATAGTACACTGCAAGTTCAAAATAGTGGGGAAGACTGTTATGTCTTCTCTAAGACTGTTAATAATTCATTTATACCTATTTTTACTATCATGTGTTTTTCTATTGTTATTGTTTTATAAACATTCATGAATTAGATTTTGTGTTGAGTTAAGATGCGTGCATTTATTAATTATTTTGTAATTAATAAGAGTAATTTTAGACACTTATTTTTTTAATAAAGTTATGAATACAAAACCTGTTTGGTTATACATTGATTTTTAAAAGCAGTAGATTAAATTGTAAAAATAATTTAGTTAATTTTTTGTGTAAACAGCATGTAAAATACTACGTCAGTATTTATTTCTATTTACATGAAGATATCAGCCATATAACCCCTAACATGATAATTTTGTGCAGAGAAAAGATGGATGTCCAGTACACATAAAGAGGGGGTTTGTGGACAAAGTCTTCTACTACTCTACCTTGGTGTTAGCTGTTGTAGGGGTGGTAGGAAGCTTAAAGTGTTTTTATGATATGAGTCACCCTCACACTCACACTAATAAGCCTAAGATAACTAAAGTAGCTATCTACAGTATTTATATTTTGTTTTGAAATTAAGTTCACTTACGTATTACAAAATTTATAAACTAAAATTGTTTTAAATATATAGAATAGCTCTGTAATCAACCTAAGGAACATGATGATACAAGAGCAAACAAGGTTCTGAATTTAAGGCTCCCAGTTTTCAATGTTTTTTTAACTGCATGTAGCCATGTAGCCTTGAGCTCTCTATTCAGTTATTACAAAATTTATATGCAATCTATGATTAGGACTAAAACAAAATGAGTTGCTTAACGCGTTCAGTGCGAGGGGCGGGAATTCTCGCCCCGCGGTACCACTGGTGTGGGGCGGGAAATCACGTCCTTTACCAATGCCAACAACTTTTCTTCAATGTGAGCTCAGCCATTGCCGGGAATCGTTGTAATTGTTGCCAACCTGTAGCGTAGAATGCGAGCTTTCTTTTGGTGTAGGTTGGTACCAAACATTCCCGTAAAATCCCGTCTGGCAATGCTTTTGTCCCGTTTTCGGGGATTTTCTCTATTCGAGCCATATTACAAAGTCTCTGGTTATTGATCCATGCAGTGCTGCCTACCTTTGGGTATTTCAGTGAACTATGTCCACTTTCTGGGTAACGCAGAACAATCCCCACTGCTCTTTTGTGATTCGTCTTAATGAGATATTTCAATACCAATAGCGATCGCTGATTCAGTTAACGTGTCGGGGCTCCGCCCGGGCCTCGCCGCAGTTTAGGAGCACCTGTATAAAGGTTTTCAGCAGTGAACGTGTTAACAAGCTAGCAGGGGTAATAATTGTTTGGATTGGCCATATTAGTATTTTTTGTGAATTTATTCTATGGGGATAAGATACTACCATATGTGGCATGGTATGAATTACACCATTTTGATCTTCCCAGACACCAAAAATACTTATTCGTTCAAGTATCTATATATACTAGATAACCTGTTGCTCAAAATCGAGTAAAACTGAAACTTGTACCTATAAAAAAAACATAAACAGCAAGACCTTAATCAAAGAGTCACACTAAAATAATTTATATGACTGATTATAGAAATATAAAAATATTATGATGTATAAAAATGTAAAAGCAATCTATAATATTTAAATTTACATTCACTCTCATACTGCTTTGGTTATCTCTTATGTATAGTAGGCGGGTGCACTCTATGAGCACGTAGATGTCAACCACACACTGAGCTTTTGACCTAAAGCTCAATTCCTCTCTTGACGCCAACCATCACTACTCTTATTCTAGCATTGTTAAATTATTTCTTTGATGTGTTCTGTTTTAGGCGTATTTAAATTAGGGGCCCCAACCCAAGTCTCCGGTTGGGAACATAAGAGGGTAAGCAAGTGGATCTAACGACAGATATAATGGATACGCGTTTAACATTATTAGTGTTGGAAAAAACTATACGATTTATTTGGCCAGGTGGTGCTTTGTTTTCAGCTTTAAAAATTGCTGCAAAATCTACACAGGTAGCACCATTGTAGCGAGGGAAGACACTTCTTTTGTCTCTTATATGTACATAAGAATCTCACTTGACTCCTCGGAGCTCTCGTCCCTACATAATGTCTGCCACAGTCTTCAAAGATTTGCAAATAGGTTGGCATAGTGACCCTATTTCCCGCATATTTTTTCATTGAATTTTTTTTGTGCTTAGTTCTCCTTTGGGTTCTAGTGACATTGTTGTACTTACTTATATATATCTGTGCGTATTCAGGGTCATCACCTTCTTAACACTACTCCTCCCTTATTTGTGGACCAAATTCAACGTTTAAGGTGTCAAAAGATTTGTCTCAATATGTAGTTTTGCAATAAGGTTTTAGAATTTTAAAATTCCTACCCTTAAGGGTGTGAGACCCTCTCAAAGGTCGGGTTTTCCCCATAAGAAATACGTAGAACAAATTTAAAAACAAAAATCAGCTGTTTATAAAAATAAATTTATTAGCTTTTTGGGAGTAAATATTATGTTTGTAATAGTCATTAGGTTAAGACCAGGTTAAACAGAATCAGTTTTTTTGGAAGAACAGAAAATACCTCGAGTTCAAAGAAGAAATATTGAAAACGGGAGGAGACAATTTTTAATACAGTAGCCTACTAAGATATCTTATGCGAATGAGGAGAGTAGAAAAAGAGAGGCCTGGTCTAACAGAAACACATTCACTTGGTGGGATGAATACTGTTCGCCAGTTCTGCTGTGCAACTTACTTTGGGAGTGAAAAAATATATGAAAGCACATAGTGTTGTCACGGTGGTAAAGTGAACTTGCATAATGTCATATCAAATGAATACATGCAAGAAATGTTTACTTCTTCACTGACAGATCGAGATATTTCAAAACATTTAGTAGAAACTATAATAATGCCTTGGCTATGATAAGTTCAAGTACGGTAGTAAGATTATACCAAATCTTGGCGGACCTTATGTTTTTATTGTAAACGTTTGTATTACTTGCTCATCTACTTCAATTAAGAAAAAAAACGCAAATGAATTGTTTACTTCTAGGATATGTTGCCAGTTCCTCGGACAAACTTATACAAATCTCTTTGACTGAATTGACCAACACAATCCAGACATTTCAAGTCAAAATAAGAAGTTTCAAAAACTCATTTGCTGTTGAAAGTTTTAGTGGCAATATTAGACCAAACATAATTGAAGAAATAAGTGTTTATGTATTCAACGATCGAGTAGCTACGGTCAAGTTTATTTTATGATTCAGAAGAGGCAAATAATATACGCTGTTCAAAAGGAGAAAATGAAAATTGCTATCCAAATCTTATAGCTACAAGTATTATCCAACCTATTTTGACAAATGAATCCACACTTTAAAAACTTTGGGATAGGTATTAAGAAAGACTCCTCTGAACATCGCGAGTATGTTCTGATGCGGGGCATATACTGTGACTGACAGACAACACGTTAAAATATGTTAACCAACTTTCAATGGTGTTGCTGCTTTAGCCTATTCAAGGTAGATTATGGCTGTCCAGTTGTTAACCCAGAGTTTGTGGGTACAAAATTGAGCACATGATGAAATATTTTATATCACCCCACTTTTCAGGATTCTTTATGGGGAAAATTTGTTGGTTTATTGGTATGTCTCAAATCAAAGAAATAAAATGACCCAACGTAAATTACTTAACACAGGTTATCAGTAAGGCAACAGTTTTCTTCAATTCTCAATACTGGAAAAACTATGTTGCAACAAGTTGAATAGATTTGAAGCAGAGCGTTTAGCATTCATTAGACGTTATCAGTTACAACTGACAGCAGAAATAATGTAGGTGAACCTTGACGACGCAAATAGAGATATTTAAAATTAGTTTATATTTATAACAAGTTTTAAAACAACTCTAAGATGTAACTAGAATCACACAAATTTAAGCATAACATTTTCCTCAACGTTATGTTTCATACTATGCGGCTCATTGAGCCGCACGGGTTCTCTAGTAAGTAAATAAATAAATACATATATAGAGTGTCTCACCAGAAGTAAACCAATAGCTAACTGCTAACTTTTTATTCTTTTGCCATTTTCCAATATGGCCGACAACTTTGTTATTTCTTATGGAATACCCTGATTTTATGATTGTTTTAGAGTTTTAAAGCGATGCAACTCCTAAAAGAGTAGTTTTAGAAAGAAAATGTCAAGAATACAAACGTTTTTAAATTGCATTTACATTCTATAAAATAAAATACTGGGAGTTTGCTTACTTCACTCTATGAAAAAAAATAAAAATCTTAGTCACAACAAAACAGGCAATTTAAATTGTTGTTAGGAACATTTCAATTAGTACATTCAATAAAATCGAGTTTAAACTTTTTATTTTGTTAAAAAAAATGACTCCATATTTCATAAATATACATTTCTTTATATACAATTTACAAATGCTAGTTTCTCCAACACTTTATAAAATTTATATCATTTGTAACAGAATATATTAACAAACAACTAAAAATATGGATAACTTACAATGGTTTAAATAATAGTAAAAGTTAACCATTAAGGCCCGATTTCACCAAACTTTTAAACCGCCGTTAAGCCTTGCTCTAACTGCAGTTAGCTCTTAACTGACGAAATTGGATTTCACAACTCGCCGTTAGCGCTAGTTTAGACTAAACCGTCAATAGATAATTAACTGCCCAATTTTGACCGGTTAGCTTCTTTAATCTTTCGTTAAGTAAATATCAGCTGGCTTTAAGTTTAAAGTTTATATGGAAAGGCGAAATGGTAGAAGAGAATATGGTACGAATTAGCTTTTGAAAGTAAGTGATGGCAATGAAGAGTAAGCCTATGTTGTTCTACCAACTAGGTGGATAAGAGAAAGGGTTAATGATTTAAATAACAAAGATGAAATTGATTTTATTATTAGATATGAGCTATCAAAACGTTTAGCCTTTTTTTAGGGAATGAATACAAACCACTGTAGTATTTGTGTTTAGGCTATCCCACATAGTGCATTGCTTTAGGTTATCCCACAAGGTTTTTAGTTAAGGCGTATATCTGTGATCAGCGACCGCATTGAACCACAGTCTAACAATAAATAATTTATACAGACTTTATTTATATTAGACTGTGATTGAACTGGTTGGCGATCAAGAGCCGTACTCTTTTATCCCGGCTCTTCTACCAACATTATCAAATTTATTATTTCATTGTTCGAAAAAATAGGCTCCCTTTTCCTTCTCCCGGCTTTGGGTAACCCTAACCCAACGTTCAAACAATTGTTTTGCGTTCGGTCAGACGTAAGTAAAGCAAAATCTAAACCTAAATTGTCATTATTCTGCTAGTATTTTATAGAAAATAATTATTTTGGTGTTATCTACATTGTGTCTCGTTCTTGTAATTCTTTTGACTCCAGTTTTTTCACTACTTCAAATGTATCAAACTGGTTAGTGAACAAACAGAATATTGAACATCCCTGTAAAAAGTTGGATTTTGAGTCTTGACTCGACCGCAAAACTCAACCAATTAGTTCCTCGAATATGTTTGATCAACATTGCTTTGCCTTTATTTACTTATGTTAATTGTTTTGGTATTTATTCTTGCTTTCTGTTGTTATTTTGCTCAGAATCTATTGTATTCCTGTAAGCTTGCTGTCTCCAGTTTTGTTTTCACTACCTCATAAACACTGATTTATTTTCTAGGTTATGTTTACTTGCTCCCGTAACAGCCCGGTATTATGACAGTTCACTGCCACTGCCACCTGGATTTTACTCTAAACTCTCGTTTATAAAACCAGCGTTAGTTTTGACACGTTTTCGTTGGTGAAACCGGATTTCCTTAACTGTGGTTTAAATCATCGGCTAGTTTTAACCGAAGTTCAACTAAGCCATCGTTAGCGAGAATTTGGTGAAATCGGGCCTAAAATGTATACTATACAATGGTTTTAAATTCACCAGCGAGGATAAAATTCCAAGGCAATGACTGTAGCAGCAAACAGAACCCTTTGGTCCCCAAGGACTCCAGCAAGTGGCAAGTGATTTGGCTACCTGTACAGTAGTTAAAAGTGCTACAATCAAAGCTACAGGAGGTAAGGTGAGTTACCCATCTTTAAGTCACACTCATTTGTCATCTTCAAACATTTTATACAGACATCATTAAATGTATTAAAACAACCATAGGTGTTAGCTTATTGATATTATAAACTATTATTAGACAAAATAATATACAAAACAAACCATGTATAGGAGATATCCCAAAATACCACAGGCAAAAAATTGGTTATTACTGTAATACCAATACAGTACTACTTGTGGGTCTGTCTACTGTTAAAACACCCAGTAATAAAAATTAAGTCTCACTTAAGTATTCACACTAATCAGCATTGAACAGTTTGTTGAAAATAAATAATTAAAAAGATAAATTAGTTAATCTTCAATATTTATGATATGTTTTGTGAAACTGCAAGACTCTACTTTTGTTTGCTGAGTTAGATAAATTCCCACATAACAATCATTATTATTGGATGATATTGTTAAAACATCTAATAATAATCAGTGTAATAAATAGTAAGGTGTCAACCTTAAACTATTCTCAAGGTGGTATATAATAATTAAACCAAAATATTTAATTATTCTGTGCATTATTTGCTTCTATTAGTAAGGCTGACTTTTAATGTTTTTTCTTTTACATAAAAAGTACAATATAACATATGACTAGAAAAAGTTACTTAACCGTACTTGTACCTACCCTACATTAAATTTTGTATTGCAGAATTTCTGTGAAACATTTATTATAGCACATTGTAATGTTTGAAATTCACTTGGGACATGCAAGAAAATAAACACATAAAATATTATCAAGCTTATAGTTCATATCAAAAACTAAGAGATTGAGATTGAGATCGGTATCAATCACCGTAATCAAGTAGTTTAAATGTTAGTTTACCAGCACAGCACAATAGTTCATAAAAATATATGAATAAATGTCTATTATTTTGAAATAGTTAAGAGTTTATATATGTATTGTCATTTTAACCATCCAGAAACAATTTGTTTTATCATGACGTACTTGAGGTCTAAATGCCAAACAATTTAATATAATTAAATACATACTACACTGAATTTTTGTAGAAATGTTTGAAAATTTCTCCCTTTATTATTTGCTGAGAGAGCATATATCAGTCTATTTATAAACTTATTCCAAGGCTCTCCAAAAAAGGCAATAGAAAGGGCATATTTGCCATTTTTCCATCAGCATTTTTTTCATAGTAATAGGATGGTTGACAATACTTGTTCTAAAAATCTCATCCATCATGGAAAGGCTAACAAAAAATAGGTATTTTTATCTATTAATTGACTACTTGTTGAAAATAGTATATAGAATTAAGTACCAAAAAGACCCTTTCGCTCCGTGTGATCGTGATGAACAACTATTTTCATCATACTGTGGAAATAACCTTCTAATTGTTACAAAATTAGACCACAAAATTTGAGGTTAAACAAAGTCGTCCGGAAAACAGCTGTTCTGAGTTCTGTAAATCATCCACAACATCATTGTTTTTTGGTAACTACAAATGGGTAAACGGTTAACATTTCTGTTGTAAACAAACATAACTTAAAATATTGTGTGATTAGCAGGGTTTTCATAATGTGTGTTTCAAATAGTAAACATTTTATATTGTGCCATAAACTAATTTTCAGATTAGCGAACCAAAAATTTACCATATGTTTTTTCTGTTCCCCATTTGTAGTTACCAAAAAACAATGATTCTGTGGATGATTTACAGAGCTCAGAACGGCTGTTTTCTGGACCGTATGATAAAAACCTATTTCTATTTCTGAGACAAAATTTAAATACACATGATATACAAAACAAAACCATCATATTTGAATGTATCTATCTACATTTCTATTGTAATTATATTTGGCACATATGCAGCACATCAAGCAATTATAAAAATTTGTTTTAAAATTTGAGTGCTTGTTTTGTTTTCACAATTTTGATCCTGGCAGTCTATCAGTTTCTACACATCTCTGGCCATTGAGACAGGATTGGCTGTACATGTGCAAGTATGGGTATTGCATTTTGTGTGCGAAAATTTTCATTACATTCAATCCTTCCAAATGAACGCTTTGATATTATTGAGATCCAGTTTTGATAATACAACCCTTGCTGGACAGGCATGTAACTTGCTGCTCTTGCTGGACAGGATGTATCCGCTTCCTGTCCGCATCATTATGCGGACAGGAAGCGGATACATCCGTCAATTCTGTTGGTGTTCATTAAGTAATTAGCTGGTTTGCTCCACTTTCACACATTGTGCAGAGGTGCTGTGACCTTAATCGTAGCATGACTTCCACATGACATGATAAAACAACTTTGTATTCTTGATTTATATATACAGGGTGTCCAGTAAGTAAAAACCTAAACTCTAGGAGATGGGTTTTATGTGACAAAGTAAAACAAAATAGAAGAAAGGGTAAGAGTACCAGTGAATGACCACCTGCCTATTGGCCATAGGGATTTACTCGGAGGGTCGGAAGGGTCAGTATAGTCACTGTCCTGTTCCACCCTCTGGTCAGGTAGTCGCCTCAACTTAGGTTGAGACAGTGTTTAACTTAATGGCCTACTTTCCCATGTCGGATACAAGTGAAAACTCAAACTTAAACGGTCATTCACTGGTGCACGCACCCTAACCTTCTCCAAAATGCCTCATTACTGAGTCATCTACTTAGTTATTTAGTGTTTGAAATTTGCATCTTTAAAACTATTTTGGTGTACAAACTTCAAATAGCGGCAATAATAATTTGTATAGTTAAAATTAAATTTTTAATGACTGATTTAATGTCAAGAGCCTTTTTACTTAGCATTTTAAATTTCTTATCTAACAACATCAAGTTTTAAAAGACTGAATAATAAAATAAATAGCAAAACTTCTCGATTGTTAGGTGGAAAATGAGGCACACCCTGACAGTTTGGCCTTATTTTTTCTGGCCTGTACAATTAAAAATTGTGATTTATCTGTTCTGTTATACACTAGAAGTCTGGGTGAGGTCAATGTTTAGTACAGTATAACATTTGTATAATTTTGCTTAAGAAGACCAGTGGAACATAGTTGTGCCATTTATTACAATGGTAAGATAGGCATTTTAAAAGTTGTCGTCACAGAATGTTTTACAAAAAAGTAGGTTGTACTTAAATTCAAATAATTTACAACGTTCTCAGATCTGATATACATAATATTAAACTTAACTTCTGCCTTTGAAAGATCAGTTAACCTATTAATGCTTGGTACACACGTGCTTATGTAGCTAAGTTATGTAAAATAAGCTGAAAAACCCTAATAAAAGTTGTAATATTATAACAACAAATATCACGTAAACAGGTGACTCATTTTGTGAGTTGTCTCCTCTACATTTCATAACAAGAGTAGAAAGTGAGTCATTACATATTTAAGACCATATGTTTGAAGTGTGACATTTATTGAGCATTTAAAATATGGTCGAGAATATGTAATGAACACTTTCATTCATGTTTTGAACGTTACTTTTTGCTACACTACAAAGAGTAATTATTTTTTTTTATAAAAACAGTCATTGGACTATTTGTTTATTAAAGTTAGGAATATTTCAAAACTAATAGTATTTTTAGGTTAGGCCATCTATCTAAATTTCAAATTTACAATTAGCATTTTTGGTGTACAGTTTTGGTAGCTGCAAATTGAAACGGTGGATGGAACGATAACAAATTTGTGTTTGTTTATTTCAGAATAATCAAAAAAAAAAAAAAAGATACTGTAGTAAACATTACTTTTGCCTAGTAAACAATCATTTTGCATAGTTAACAATTTAATGATGAATCTTTGTAGGTGATAAGCATTAAACAAAAACAGGTGATTTCACAGTAGTGTAGCAAAAAAGAATTAGGCCCTAATCAACTCTTCTGAATATAGAACAACACAAACTATTTTTTCCTACAGTTACCTGACAAAGCGGGCTTAGTTGATTATGGCATGCAAAGTAGCTAATAGCTACATTTACTTACTTTTGCCGCACTCCAGTATTCCAACCAAACAACAAAAAAACAATGTACTTTTATTAGGCACGTAATACGTATACGTTTGAAAATATTTTGGCAACACTTAAAGATACTACGACTACGATCAGCTGGTGCAGTGTTTCCCCATTTCGTTCAACGCTTGGATTTAACCTAACCTAAAAAGTGTTGTTTAATGTTTGAAGATTAATTAATTCTATGCTTTATAGGAACTGTAGGAAAAATATAATGTGTAACACAAGCGCAAAGTGCCACTTCACACACTAGTTGCACAAATAAATAAGGTATTTAAAATTGTTTTAATCAAACTAAATAAAATACAACAAAAATTAATATTAACAGAAACCTTTGTAGATTTAAAGTAGCAGTAACTAGATTTTACAATACCATAAAATTAAAAATATTGTGTTGCTAATTTTTTGCAGCTTAGTGCTTTACATTATTGTTGCTAGCCTAAATGTTCCAGTCAAGGCGACAAAACTAAAACCATAATCAGTAAACAAATATTATAGCCATGGAGAGAAAATCTATGAACTTATATATAAATTGAGCTTTTTCCAGTCCATCTGTTGTTGAGCGTTAACTTTATTCATACTGTTACAAACAAGTAACATTTTAATCAAAGTTTCGATATGCAGGGGCCCATTATAAACTTTAAGGGGAGGATTTAAGCCAAAGATACCTCGACACTAAGCGTAAAGCTAGCAGCACACTATCCCCAAGGGTACTGCTATTTTTTACTGATGAATCAATGTTTATCTGAAGCTATCAATAGGCTATTGGTGGTTTACTTACAGATATATTTAGTACAGAGGGGACAAATCACATTGCCTAATGGTAAAGAGAATAGAGTATAGTATAGCGATCCCTCCATAATTTTTTAAGAAAAGGTCTGTAAGTTTTCTGGTGGATTATTCGATTATAGTCATATATTTAGATTTTAAAAATCAACACTATCCTCTTCAATAGAGAGTAGCTCAATGATTTGCCATGTTGTTTACAAAAATAGCAATGTGATATAAATAATTATAGCTGTTTATAAAAACAAGTTTACAAGCCAACAATAGTACGGATTTTTAACAGTTTACTGATAGACCATAAAAGAGTTGTTTTGAGTAATACCATTGGGCAGCTCTAGACTATACTAATGATGCTACTCTATCGAAAGTATTTGTTAATCTTCCAACAGATAATCTTATGTAATGTTCAAGCATTGTCTGAGTCCCCAGTAACCCAATTTAGTAAAATCAATGTTAATAATTGACTAATAGTATTGCAGTAAGTAGCTTGTAGGTGAATTTTCTCTTCGGAAAAGTAAGGTCAAATTTTTTTATAAACTCCACACAAGGCAGATATTCAAATGACTTAAGTTTGTATAATGAGATCATTCGCTTAGGTAGAGGTAGTTTTCTGGTATTTTCTTCTATTCTTTTGTGAGGTTTTTGTTCATATCAAAACGGTTCAATGTTTATTACAACATTTATTTTGTTTGTTATGGAGCACGATACAAATTCAATTTTCATCTTTGGTAATAGCACATTCAATCGCTTAATAGATTTACTACCTCATTTTCAATTTTATTTTTCTTTTACTTTTATTAAAATCTTTTTCAAAAGTATCTTTTGATGAGCTTTTTATAAGGTCATTATCATCATCATCGATTTTTGAAGCTTCAGTTTTATATGCCTCGGCAATAGTATCCCCTTCTAAGCCTGTTATTTTTACTTTGACATCATCATTGTATTCCCCTGAGTCTGTTTCTAAAATTTCAATTACATTTCCATCAGTAATTTTTACTTTAATACCCTTAGAGGGTATTTTTACTTCTATGCTGGATTTTACTGTGGGTTGGCTCTCTTTGCTTACTTCCTTAATTTTTATTTCATCATTAGTTTTATCAACAGTCTTGGAGCTTTTTGTTTCATCTTGTGGCTGTGTGTTTTCAAGTACTTCATATTCAGTTACTTGCTTTAACTTACTCCCTGAAAGTTGATTCTTGGTTTCTTTCTCTCTTAATTCAAAATATTTATTATTTTGTGAGTATTTGTTCCTGTTATCTGGTGCGTTAGTCTCAGAACTAAATTTTATTTCTTTTAATTTTGATTTGATATTTGCTCTTTTTTGTTTAGTGATGAAGACTGGATCTTCTTCATTATCTAAGAGTTTTGATTCTACAGTATTAACTTTATTGTCAACTTGATCATTCTCATCATCTATAGAATGGGTTGCAGTCTCATGCATCAGTTCATCTAATACTTCCTCTTCCATCTCAGCTTGTATATTTTTAGGAACAAGTTTCTTTTGCACATGTTCTGATTTTTCTCTCATATCTGCTTCACCATCTTTCTCACTTGGGACCATAGAGTATTTTTCAATTATATTTTTAATGCTATTTTTTATTTGTTTTGATTTATTACTGTTTTCTTTGATATTTTGTTCTTGCCCTGATTGTTTTTTAGAAGGAGGAACTTTTTTGTTGAATTTTGTTGGAGACAAAAAAGGGGATTGGTTTTCTTTGTTTGATTTGTTATCATCTATGATGTTTTTGTTTGACAACAAGTGATCTGATGTGTTCGAAATTTCTTTCTTAAAAAACTGTTCTTTTTCTCCTGAATCGGTTTTAGTTGAAAGATTTTCTTGTTCAGAACTAAATAAGTCATTATTTTTTAAAGCAACACTAACATTTTGCATCAAACGGGTTTCTGTTACATCATTACTGTCATTCAAACTCTTTAAATCCTCAGGAACAGTGTTTTCAACAAAATCGTTACTATCTATTTCTGTTTCCTCACTAACATCTTGATCAAAGTCAAATAAATTCCATGCGGGCAATGGTTCTTCTTCACTTACTTCTTTTTCATCAACAGACTTTAATTGCTCTTCAAGGACCAAGTCTCCTACTTCTTCATTTTCATTTTTTTCAAAATTATCTTCAAACAATTCGTCAAAATGTCTGTTGGATATTAAAGATTCATCGGATTTGTCATCTAATTTTTCCTCTACTGTAATTTCTTCAGATGCATTTTCTTTAATGTTAACATCATCTCTTTCATGATCAGTTTTTGTTTCAGGAGCATTCTGAAACTTATTTGAAATAAACGTTTTGCTACTTGATACTCGTTTAAGGATGAATAATTGAGGCTTAGTTTTAATTCTTACTGGAGGGAATAGATTGTAGTTGAAACCAATATGTGAGAATCCATCCACTACATCCAGTACCTAGACACAAAAACCAACATAAAAACAAGGAAGCACTTGGATTCACTTCTTAATCAACAATTTCTTAAAACTGAAGATTGTCTCATTAATAGGAAATCAACAATACAATCCCATATCTGTTAAACTGTTCAGTAATATTTTAATTTTCTAACACAAAAATTAACAATCAAAGATGGTTAAAATAAACTAGGGTTTAATCAACATCCAAGAAAGATGGTTGAATAAGGGAGACTTGCACAGAATTACAAAGTTTAGATAAAAGCAAAATTATTAGAAAGGCTAGGAAAAACAATTGATTGATCAAATGTTGAAGTAACAAAAACTTGTTATTAACTTTATTATTTTATAATAATAAGCTCATGGCTGAAAGGACAGGAAGAGAAATTTGAATTCCAATGTAGAATTTTAAATTTACAAAATTATTTGAAATATAATAACTAGAGGTGTGCGAGCGGCTCGATTTTCAAGCCAAGCCGAACTTTTACGACCACGATCGTAAAACGTGTCTGCAAAAATCCCATGATCGAAAAATCCACAATTTGCCGCGGTCACTGAAGACTATGATGACGTTTCCAGGACCGCGAGAGACGACGATAAAGTCTACAAACCGTGGGAGATGTCCAGGATTTTGTCCCAATCGCAGAAGACTATGATGACGTTTCTGTGACCACGGGAGACAACAATAATGTCTACAAACCGCGGAAGATGTCCATGATTTTGCCATGATGGCAGATGACAATGATAAAGTTTCTATTACCGTGAGAGACGATGATGATGACCAAACGACTGTGGTAGATGATCAGGATTTTGCCCCAATCACATAGCAATGATAACATTTCCATGACCGCAGAAAACGATGTTGATGACCATACAGTGCCAGGAGATATTCAGCATTTTGCCGCGATCGTGGATGATAATAATTATTAAACATTCCGGGACCGTGAAAGAGGATGATAACCTTAGGTGAGATTTTCTTGATTATTCTGCCGATGTTTTTTTTAATCCATGGAATGGTCGTCATAAGGTTAAAAGTTCACAACTAACACTCACGTGTACACAAAACATTATACATTGATAGGCCTAAACACAAATATAGTAACAAAAACCTGAAATTAAAAAAAATTGCCGGACACGTGCGGTGCCGGTGGATGATTAAATCAATGTTATCAACAGTAGGATTAAATCAATGATAGGCCTACGTTTGACCTGAAGATGTGTTCATTTGAGAACAGGAAACAGCTGTAGTCAACCAACTACAACCTAGGATCACTTGACGGATACAGGAGATATTTAGGACGATGACGATGACTTTTCTGTTACTGCGGGAGATACTGGGGATTTCACCCTGATCGCAAAAGACGATGTTTTAGTGACCTCACGTGATGTAATTTAAAATTTTGAAAATAATATTTAGGTATATAGTCAGCACAACACTGTGTTGAATGGAAATTAAAAAAGATTTATGATAGGTACTAAATTTAATACTGCTTTTTACTGGTGACCAAATCGAACATGCTTAACCCCGAGTTTAAACTCATGCTAGTTTACACTTGAGAATTTTAGGTAGACCTACTTACATTTCCATTTTTATGCAAATTTATCTATTCCTCCTAAAAAAAATCTCGTAATTTGATCATAAAATATTTACCTATTACAAATCTTTAAAATAATAACTTTTATGCTAATTCTAGTAAGTTCACTTCAAGTATTAAACAAATTAATAAGTTGCTTTGTTTTTGTTGGAACAGTTATTTGTTATTTTAATATTCACTTGTATTCTTCATCTATGACCACGTTAATTTCCAGAAAAAATTTTATTTTGAAGAAAATAAAATTAGGTGAAATTTACAATAACTTAGTTTTTTGTTTTATCCTTTTATCTACTAAAAAATGTTATTTCACTTTACTCTACATCTTAACATTTAATTGCATAAAAAAAGTTTTTTGACTAGGCCTGATTAACTTATTATTTTAATTGCGTAAATTCATGTGATAGAAAAAAGCTTGGCTTGGAAAAAGCTCATGGCTCGGCTCAATTGATAATCTCAGGCTAGCACACCTCTAATAACTAAGTTTATTCCATACTCTGAGAACGCATTTCTCACTTGTTGATTTGTTACTCATTAGGTTACTACCTACAGTACTTAACAGACCTCGCATTAACCGATAATCGGATTATGCACCCTCGATCGTAAAATATTACAGTTTGTTTAAACTGACCTTGCTTTAAGAGCAGAATCTCGGCATTTCCGTTCCCACGCTCGGCGATGGGATACATACGCTTATCTTCACAGGATATGACTAAGAATAAGTAATTTTGTATTTATCCAAAAAAATATTTCATATTATTGCCAGTTTGTCATCATTGTTTGTAGCATGAGCAAATCATTAAGTGCTTTACGATTTTGATAACTGATTATCTTATAACTAGAGTAAACAAACAACACAAATTGTAGGGAGGGCAGGGGAGGAGGGTTAAAGACTCCAAAGTAAGATTGTTGTTGTGACTGGAGCCTCCAGTGAGAGGCTGTAAATAAACGTCCTGTCTCGTAATAAAATGGTTGCTTTTTCGTATCTTTATCTAAAATGGTATCTTTAATTTCGACAAAAACATCTACACTGTATTACTATAGATTTGGAAAGCATCAATAATATTACTGTACTAAAGTTATTAAAATAAGAATTTTTATTGACTCTTGCCTAGAATGATAATTTATTTCATTGAAAGTATTTGACTTACTGTGGTAAGTGTTTATTTGTGACTTTTCTATCAATACAAAAAATAGGAGGCAAGTGTAAATATGATACATATTTCCAAAGACTGTCCCTATTTAATCCAGCTGATCAGTTAATTATTTGTTGTTGTTTTTATTTATGTTTATGTGAAGTTATTCAGTAATAAATATACACTACACAGTCAACATTATGTGCACAATTTAATTGTATTAAATTAGTCAAAGTACATAATATTGGCGACGAGGAAAACAAAATGACTGAAGAACAGACACTACAGAAACTAATCAAAGCAAGAACGGTGGTCAAAGGCCAGTTTACACGAGCAAACAGATTATTAAAAGGCAACCCAACGGCGACAGAACTAAATGTAAAGCTCAATACTGTTACCAAATACTGGACAAAGTACAAACAAATACAAGATGAAATAGATTCACGCACAGATTTGGATGAGCTTAGTAGAGAAATTGAATGCAGATGCAGTATGGAAGATGAATATTTACAGATTACAACTACCGTACACTTCAAGAAATGATGCTAGCTGTTGAACAGAAAAACTCTAACACCTCTTCATCTTCTTCACCCAGTACACATTTATGTAACACATCAGAAAGAATTAATTTCACACCATATCACCCCGAAGAAACTATCACAAACTCCATAAGAAGACTGGAAGTATTTTTGTATCTAAATAACCAAGAACCTGATATTAAAGGTAAAGTATATACACTACTACATGCCCTAACACCTCAACTACATCAACAACTCTATGATGTTTGTACTCCTGAGGACTCTTTGGACAAACAATATGATGACTTAGTGCAGCTCTTGAAAGAATTCGTGGATCCTCAGCCAAGCCAATGGGCTTTACAACAGAAATTTATTTCGCGGAATCAAATGGAACATGAAACAGTGAATGAGTTTTCAGTTGCTCTTAAGAAGATGACTGTAAATTGTGAATTTCATTGTTGCTGTGGTAAATCTGTTGCAGATCTATTTCTAAAACTACAGTTTATCCGGGGGTTGAAAGGCGTAGACATTCGAACTAAACTATTACAAGATCGTGAAAAACGAATGTATCAAGATTTAGTGAACATTGCTTCAGCAATGGAACTTGCAAAATCAGAAAGTAAGACTGTAAGCCATAATACGTTGGAACAAAGTTAATTGAATCAGATTAAGTAAAAAATAATAACGAAAAAAGTGTTAAGCCAACACAACTGAAATCCTCACCGAACAGCCCTAATTTCAAAACAGCTTTTGAAAAGCTCAAAGGAAAATGTTATCGCTGCGGTTCACCATCTCATCGGGCACATGAGTGTCGTTTTCAGGAAGCAACGTGTCGAAGGTGTAACAAAGTGGGACGGACACATTGCAAGTGTATGCATGCAAACAAAAAGGCAGATGCAAAAAAAGTACAGAAATCATCAAACAGAATATGAAACTGAAGAAAGTAGTGAGAATGAGTTTCACATTAATGTCATCAACAGTAGAAGCAATGACAAATTTATCGTAAACATGAAGATTGAGGGCAAAACAGTACCAATGGAACTAGACACGGGTGCAGCCCTCAGCAATATGTCCTACAAAGACTTTAAGAAGTTGTCAATTCCCCAAAAGGTATTTTCAACCAACGTTGAACTTCGTACATACACAGGGGAAACTATTAAGCCAAGAGGTGTAACGTTTGTGAATTGCATGTACAAAACGCAAAGTTTTGTCGGAAAACTATTTTTGATCAAACAAAATGTCGATGCAATATTTGGTAGAGATTGGCTTAGGGAAGTCAAATTAGATTGGGGTGAAATAAAAAGTCTAGAAATGAATCAGACATCAAGTCTAGGAAACATGTTGAGCGACTTTAGTGATGTATTCGATGGAAAAATTGGAGTCATACCTGATCATTTAGGACAATTAAGGGTCATGGATGACGCAAAACCGATATTTGTGAAGCCAAGACAAGTGCCATATTCTCTAAGGAGTGAAATTGAAAAGGAACTCAAGAGACTAGAAGAATGTGGAATAATAACCAAAGTAGATCACTCAGACTGGGGTACCCCCATCGTGCCTGTTGTCAAGCCAAATGGTCAAGTGCGCATTTGTGCTGATTACAAAGTCACAGTGAACAAATTGATCAAGGATGAAAACTATCCTATTCCTAGAATTGAGGACATTTACACCCAAATGAATGGAGGCAAACTATTTTGCACATTGGACATTTCTAATGCCTACCTTCATATGAGGATGGATGAAGAAAATGTTCATATGCAATCACTTAGCACGCATAAAGGGATGTACAAAGTAAATCGCTTAATGTGTGGAGTCAAAGTAGCACCTTCCCTTTGGCAGCAGTTTCTGGACAAAACCTTACAGGGGATTCCTGGTGTACAGTGCTTTTACAATGACATCATTATTCAAGGTAAGACAGAAGAAGAGTTACTAACCAGACTACGGACTGTACTAGAGCGAATGAGATCCAAAAACTTAAGACTAAACAGAGACAAGTGCAAATTCTTTCAAACAAGTATCCAATATTTGGGACACACCATTGATGCTCAGGGACTACACAAAACAAAGGAAAACATTTCTGCCATCGTGAACAGCAAACAGCCAGAAAATGTAAATGAATTGAGAAAGTTCCTGGGATTGGCTAACAACTATAATAAGTTCATTAAAAGTTTGGCCACAATCCTTTACCCACTTAATGAACTGCTGAGTGAAAATTTAAAAACGTACGTTTTCATGTCCCTGGCCTTTTACTTCGTAGATACTGTATTTGTAGTTTATTATTATGTGTTTTAATATTTTTTGGGACGGGGGCAACATGTTACACACATTTATTTGGTTTTAAATAGGTTCTAGGTATTTTTTTCGCATTTTTAAAGTCTCAAAATTCACGACCATGACGTGTCCCTAGGGTGCATTTTCCAACTTTCACGCTGTTTTTAGACTAATTATTCATGCCGAAATATATAAAGCCATATTTTTATGTCATCAATGGTTATTAAACTTACAAAAAAGGAGCATATTATAATTTTATTGTCATTAAAAACTGACTACCATGACAAAATAAGTCTGTCCCTCGATTTGGCGTCACGACCATTTTGGAAAAATTTTCAACTTTGGAGAACGACAGTGGCAAGCCTGGCGTCGATGGAGTCAGTTGGTTTTAGAGACTAGTTCGGGGTGTACGTCAGGATTGTAGTGCCGGTCGTTTCGAGTTGAAAGGAGGAATTACAAGATTAATAAAGGAAAGATTGTGTTTTTTGTAATTTTGGTGTGTCCATGACCGTATGTAGTCATTCGATGAAGTAGACATGGTGTTAATTTTTGTTTATAAGATATTTCATTTGCTAGATTAACCTAGAAGTCCACTTTGTATCCTCGAACATGAGGTGCAGGGCTACCGCCAGAACAGAGCCAAATAACACGTAATTTCACGACCAAAGTTTCACGACCATCGCGGGTTTTTTCACGACCAATCCAGCCTTATGGATTATAGTGTGTTTGGTCGTGACAATAACTTTAATATAATTGTAAATTGAACAGTTTAGTTCAATTGAAACACATATTTTTATTATAACTAACCGGATAATTGAAGGATTGTTTAGAAAGATTTAGATTATTCCAGACAATTCACAACCGTACCGCTTGTCCCTGACCATCACGTTTATGATTTCTATCATAAAAATTTCAAAAATTAAAATATCGTCATATTTCAATGTTTTATACACAAAAGAAGCACACCTCTATACAAACATAACGATTTTTCGGGTCTCAGGTAAGTTTTTTTGGAGTTATACAAACTTAAAAAGATTTTATTGGCTTTTTCAATTTTTTGGGTTTTTTTTTATTTTTTCCTAGAAAAACCAATTATACCAAAAGCTCAGTGACCTTTTTATTGTATAATGGTCATAAAAGTAAATAAGTTTATATCAAAACATAGTTATAAAAATAATATTAACTATTTTTAATATTCATTTAAACGTCCGTTATGGTCGTGACAGGATTTTGCGTTTTTCCACTAAAGATGCTCTTTTAAAAAGAAACTACCAAAGATATTGCGTTACCATGGACATTTTATGAAACTTCAAATGTTTATGAAATAAAAATAATAATAAAAGTTTTGAAAGAGGGGAAAAGAATTTGCAAAGTGCTTTTGCTGAAAACGTACGTTTTTAAATTTTCACTCTGCTACGGAATGGGAAAAAGTATATATGGACAACTAAATGTGAAGAGAGTTTCCAGAAAGTCAAATCAGAGATAACAAGTGACAATGTACTTGTTCACTATGATGCAGATCTTACCTTAGTACTTGCAACAGACGCGTCACCGGTGGGCCTTGGGGCCATTCTCTCTCACAGATACAGTGATGGAACTGAAAGGCCTATTGGTTTTGCTTCACGTACTCTTGACTAAATGTGAACAAAAATACAGTCAGATTGACAAAGAAGCAAAAGGGATATACTGGGGCCTCAAAAAGTTTTTCCCCTATTGTTACGGACGTAAGTTCATTCTAGTGACTGATCACAAACCGTTAGTATCAATATTTCATCCAAACAAGACTTTGCCATCAATCTCAGCAACGAGGCTGTTCAATTACGCGCACTTCTTATCTTGATTCAACTATCAAATTGAATACAGGAAAACTACAGACCATGCGAATGTTGATTTTTTATCACGATTCCCAACTGAACACACTTCAATCAATCATGTGGATGACTGTAGTCTATTTCAAATCAGCCAGCTGGACTCGTTTCTAGTAGACAGTCAAATGATATCTAGAAAAACTACTGAAGACAAGTTCCTACAATCAGTGCTACGTGTCCTTCAGACAGGGTAGTCTGTTGAACATCTGGGTTTTCATGACAATGAATTGACGCTGCAAGATGGTGTATATTTAAGGGTAATAGGGTAATAATACCACAAGTTCTTCACCATGCTGTGCTTCAAGAACTACACGTTGGACATCTAGGTATGGATAAAATGAAAGCTCTTGCTAGAAGCTATTGCACATGGAGAAACATCGACAAGGACATTGAATAACTGGTACGCACCTGTAAACAATGCCGCTTAAAACAAAACCAACCTGCTAATGAACCCAATCATCCATGGCTGACTCCTCAAGGACCTTGGGAAAGAGTACACATAGACTTTGCTGGCCCAATGCAAGGACAATGGTATTTCATTATTGTAGACGCATTCACCAAATGGATCGAAGTGATCCCAACTAAAAACACGTCTACAGAATGGTGTATCAGGGAACTTCGGAAAACTTTTGCTACATTCGGTCTACCTTTAGTTCTAGTATCAGACAATGGGAGTCAGTTTACTTCTAGCGCATTCTGACAGTTCTTGTCTGCTAATGGTGTGGTGCACAAAACTACTGCGCCGTACCATCCTTCCTCGAACGGGCAAGCCCAACGATATGTTCAAACAATAAAGAAATCATTAAAGGCAATGGAAGAAGAAGGAGGTAAACTAGATCTTAAATTATATAGGCTTCTCATGCAACTTCGTCAATCCCCTAACTCAACCGGATCAAATGCTTACAGTTTAATGTACGGAAGAGAGATAAGAACGCACTTAGGATTATTGCTTCCTCAATGTAACAAGTCAGCAAGAAGTGCAATGGCTGTACGCAGACAATTTCAAGTGGGGGACAGTGTACAGGCTAGAGACTACTCAAGTCCTAAACGGAAATGGAGCTTTGGAACTATCATTGGAAGAGAAGGTACCCTCTTATACCAAGTCAAAATGGAAGACGGAACTGTGTGGAGGAGGCATATCGATCAACTTCTAAAATGTGAAATTTAAGCGGGGAGAGTTGATACATATTTCCAAAGACTGTCCCTATTTAATCCAGCTGATCAGTTAATTATTTGTTGTTGTTTTTATTTATGTGTATGTGAAGTTATTCAGTAATAAATATACACTACACAGTCAACATTATGTGCACAATTTAATTGTATTAAATTAGTCAAAGTACATAATAAAATATTATATAAATAATGCAAGTACGACTTTAAAATAAACAATATATAATTTCAAATAAATAACACTTCATTTTGTTATGATTTTAGGGATTGTTTGTTTAAACCGACCTTTTGAGTTATCAAACTTAGGTCCAGTCCCATTGGGGTTGGTTAAGAGGGGATCTACTGTACACATATTACATGATACTCAAGAGAAAAATTTTAATTTTGTAAAGTTTAATAGGTACTAAGTATAAATGCAAGGGACTTTGTTAGAATTTGTTTGCTAAGACAATACTTAAATTAGGGTAAAATATTTATATGTTACCTGGTGAGTATCAAGGAGAGGTTTAACACTTGGAGAGAATCTACTTTTAGCCTCAATTATCATATGAGTAAAGTTGAGTAGTTCAGGACTCCCATCTAAGTTTTCAGTCTTATTGTATCTGAAAACCAATGACTTCATTAGCAAATAAAGTAGATAAACATGTTTACGCTTGTAAAATCAAGAAACGGCAAACCGATCTATAAATTGTTTACTCGAGATAAAAAAGTATGCCTTTAATTACCTGAATATATGTTTTCACTAGCTGTAACCCGCGGGCTTTGCCCCGTTTAACTTCTTAATTTTCAAGATTATCTCGTTCGCATGGCTCAATCACGTCCTGGTTGAAGTTTGTTCGCTACGCCCACTCACCTTTAGGTTGGAGCTCGTTCGCTGCGCTCACTTGCCTTCAGGTTAGCTCGTTCGCTACGCTAACTCGCCTCCAGGTTGAAGTTCGTTCGCTATGCTTACTCACCTTTTGGTTGCAAATTAGCTGTTGTCATAAATGTAAAAGAAATAAGAACAGAACCAACTTGTTTAATTGAAACAGCTGTTAAGATTCAATAATTCCATTTCTCATAAGGTTAACATGGGAAACTCCAGAGCCACTGGGGCGGAGCCCGAAAGGATTTTTGAAATAAGAATATGCCTATATGTTAATCGGGAATGTGAGCTATCATCATGCCAAATTTCAGCCCAATCCGACCAGTATTTTTCGCGTTCACTTGTCACAAACATACATCCATACATCCATACATCCAAACTTTCTCATTTATAATATTAGTAGGATTACAATTGTGCAATTGAAAGTGTGAGTTTTTAATTTTCAAGCCCTTGATTGCCTTAAGTATAAAATTCAAGTTGTGCTTCTTCGTTTGAACTATCCACATCCCATTGTATTAAGTTGGTTATAAAAGCTTTAAAAACTATATACAATTAGAGAAGTTTGTTTAAGTCCTCACCTCCAAGTGTCATATATCTGTGTGAAGCGTGACACGCCAGTCTGAGCAGCCAGGTTACAGATGTGTACATTGACTGGTAAGTCTGCAGGTTCTAATCTCTGCAGCCGTGCAATGGCTTTGCCACCCGGATAGTTGACAGCCGCGATGCTCAGCAGGAACAAGGAGAAGATGGCGTTGGCTGCCACATGACCCACCACTGCCACCCTCAACAAGCGGACCACAGGTGACTTCTGCGAGGCTGTCCATCTGTAGCATTGCATGCATCACATCACAGTTGCTATACCTCCCATACAATAATTTTAAACATACCTGATATTTTTTACTCCTGTGGAGGTTTTAAAAATAAGAGTATAAAATTGTATAGTTATATTTAAGGAATTTGTTCTTCTTCCTTATAGATACAATAGTACATATTAGTGGGGATGGGTAGCACAAAATATTGCAGTTCTGGCGGAGAACATGCCACTTGGGATGCTGATAATATATACACAGATAATGTGAAGCCGCCCAGACCCCAATTTTTAAGGACCTTGGTCGTCCATAATGACGTCATCAAGATGGCGGCCGAAAGAGGGTGCTGGGTCGCCATGAATCGGTTATAACGCCTAAGTGCTTGAACTGATTTTAATGAAATTTGAATCGGTTTAGGCATTTGGGTATGTAGACCGCCTCTTAACCGACCCTAATGGGACCAGACCTACGTCGGATAACTCAAAAGTTCGATTAAAACGGGCAATCCCATTATTTTGAAGTCGTAATTGCATTATATTTTATAAAATAAACTAAACTTACCTCCTTTGTTTAAATTGATAGAAAAATCACAAACAAACACAAAACACGGTTAAGTCAAATACTCTCCCAATACCCAATGAATACCAATGAAATTCTTTTATTACAAAAAAAAAAGTCATACAAACAATCTGTGGGGCTGGCCCTGTGGATAGCTGTCGACTTCTTTTTATAAACCTTAATAATATTATGACCGTAGTAAATTTGTATATTTTTCACATACTCCTCTACACTAAAGCCAATCTTCATCAATTCACTTGTAGAGAGAGTATACACTCTTAAAATACAAGAGGCAAATCCAATCTAGATATCCCTGCCCATAGATTGGCCAAAACAGATAACTGCCATAAAATAAATTGCATACGGTTTTTTAATAAATTAGGTCTAGTGGCAAAACAGGTTCCTTTTAATAGGTTTAAGTCTAAAATGTTTGAGTGGCTCATCCAAAATCCATATTACTGCATAACAGAGTATTTAGTTTCTGATGTTAATATTAATTTTTAATTTAGAACCCACTGTATTTTATAGCTTTAGTTTTATTTCTATTGTTGACTATGTCTATTCCTTGTACAAGGTCAATGACAATAAAGCTCTTGATTCTTGATTCTCAGTGGAATAAATTATAGTTGTAGGCAAGCCAATAAAAAAATTCTTATTTTAATAGCTTTGGTACTGCAGGCTAATATTAATTTATGATTTTGAAATCTATCGTAATACAGTACAGAACTTATTGTTGAAATTAAAGATACACGCAACGCATTTTGTTACGAGACAAGATGTTTATTTATAGCCTCTCACTGGAGGCTCGAGTCACGATCTTGACCTTGGAGTTGTTAACCCTCATCCCCTGCCCTCCCTACAAGTTACATTTTTATTTACTCTAGCGATAAGATAATCAGTTATAAAAATCGTAACACACTTTACAATTTTGCCGCACAGATGTGCTTGCGCTAGATGACAAACTGGCAACATGCAATATTTTTTGGGATAAATACAAAAAAATCTATTCTTAGTCACATCCTGTGGAGATAAGCGTGGTTACCATCGCCAAGCGTGGGAGCGGAAATCCCGAGATTCCTAAAAAGCGGTGGATAACCGAACTGCCCTCAAAGCAAGGTCGGTTAACACAAACTGTAATATTTTACGATCAAGGGCGGATAATCCGATTATCGGTTAATGAAAGGTTGGTTAAGAGGGGGTCGACTGTATAACCAATTCATGGCGATCCAGCATCCTCTTACAGCCGCCATCTTGATGACGTCATTACGGTCGACCGAGGTCCTTGAAAATTGGGGTCTGGGCGGTTTTACATTCAGGGACTTGTATACTATAACCACCTCAAGTGGCATGTTCTCCGCCAGAACTGCTATATTCTGTCACTCTAAACAACTCCAGGCGTTTTTTTTTCATTTTTTTTTTAATTTTGATTTTTAATGGGGATTTTCCCATAAAAACCCATAAAAATCGGATTTTCTCAAAAATGGCCCTAACGATTTTGATAAAAATGTAGAATATTATACTTCTTTATATTCTGAACAAAATGGTAAAAATCCCATTTCTGTAAAAATTACGGTTCGAAAGTTATTGTAAATTATGTTATTTTCCCATAAAAACCCCATAAAAACCCCATAAAATAACAAAAAATAGGATTTTAGAAAAAACTCCAGTTTTGATTTAACATAGTATGTTATGGTTCTTACAGTTTTGATAGTTTTTTTCATTTTTTATAAATTTTGATTTTTAATGGGGATTTTCCCATAAAACCCCATAAAATAACGAAAAAATAAGATTTTCCCAAAAATGGCCCGAACGATTTTGATAAAAATTTAGTATGTTATAGTTCTTTATATTCTGAACAAAATTGTACAAATCCCATTTCCGTATATTTACTCTCACTGCTTACACATGATAAAGGTTTTGGACGTTTGTGTAGTTTTACTTCCTAAGTAGAAAAAGTACCGATATCGTTGTCGAAATGTGAGTAAGTAGAAACCAAAAGTGACACATTGGAAAAGCGAGTTTAGCTACATCTGTAAGTTAAACCTCTGTTACGATCACAGCGAAATCAGAAAGATCTTCCAAGATCGCAGCAACATCCACGATCACCCACTGCAGTTGTGATTTTTTACTTTGCACTTAACACTTACTGTCCTTGAAGCGCCGTCAATGAGTGGAAACCTTTTTTGTAAGCTATTGGTGACGATGATTAATAAAATGTAAGTTTCCCAGCACTAATACAACACAGATTCACGGTATTTACCCCGGTTATCAAAACTCAAGAACAATCGTTGCACTTGTGATTAATTAAACCGGTTAAGTAAAGCACGTTTTTAATCTCACTTGGTTTGGATGTGCTAACAAAACTTGATGGGAAATGGTTGCGGTATTTGTAAACAAATTTTAATATAAACATATCAGTGACAGCTAGAAGTGAGAACTAATCCATCAGCTTATCGTTATTTCATCAAATGTAATAGTAAACATTGGGAGAAAATTTGACAAAAATCTAACAAAATTGGATTTTTTATGGTTCGTTATTTTGTTTTCAAAGAAGCGAGGCCATGTTTTTATAGCCAAAGATACTCTCACCAATCCAGTAAATAAAGAAAAATGATTAGAACCTTGATCGGTACTCTAGTTTTCTAGGAGTAGGCCGCGTAAAATGACATTTTGGCGTTACAGACGGAATCACAGAATGGACAAACAAACAGACAGACAGACAGAAATTGAGATAAGACTCGTTTCGGCTTTCTTAGGCTATGAAACGTAAAAAAACCAAAAACTGCATGATTCTAAGCAATGTACAGACAAAACTGTAATTTTATTTATATAGATAGTTTGGCGTGACCTCAACATTGTAAAGAAACACATGTAAGCACATACTGTTTTTGAATCTCCAGTTGCTAACTTGGTGCTAACAAAAAGGGGTCAGTGAAAACAGCCGACACTAAGATCGTAGCGCCAGCTACTTCCCTTTTATTTTCAGCATTTTACTTCCCTAGACAAAGAGAGTTAGAGAGAGAGTGAGATAGTAACACAGTCGTCACCTCGCTTTCTTTATCTTCAAATAAAAGAAAAATCCAATGACACAACGACGAGTCTTGAATCTCTAAACAGTATCTTTAAAGGTATAACTGATTAAAATGACAAAAGATAAAAAAACATTTTTTCTTAAATAGAAAAGCTCCTAAATATTTACGTATTAATTACTACTTACATCTTATTGCATGCATATGCAGCTGCGACGTTGAATATAGGGAAAACGTAGATAATGAACCGAAGCTCTTTGTGAGGAAGAAAGGAGAAGAGAAATACAAAAGCGACTGAGGGAATAAGCAGTCTTCTAACTCTGACGTCAAAGTAGGCTCCCACAGGCACCAGTAAGACTGACAGTCCAAGGCCACGAGGGATGGCAGAGTAGAAATACCACAGGAACGGAGAAGTCTGCTGTGTTAAGGAAACTAGTGACTTTAAGAACACTGAATAATTATGTAACTTATATCAACCAAGTAGTGGTGTTGGGGTCCATGTATGTCTTGTCATCGATGTACATAATCGTATATAGTCTATATATATATAGACATATATATATATATATGTATATAGTCTAACTGGATCACGCTCGGCTGGTAGGCGAAAACAGTCCGCCGCCGCCGCGTCACTCCCCCCACCACATGTGGTGTACCCTACCTTAGCATTCAAATAGCATTGTGACCACTGACATATCACACTTTTTAACATCCGCTTTGTTCGCAGAATGTTTTAATTTTTTTTTTTTTTTAATTAACTTTAATTTATAGAATTACCTTTATTTGATTAATCTAGAATTTATCTAATAAGTAAATACCATTTATATCTTCCAATGATAAGTCATTTGCTAAACACGAAGCAACAAAATAAGTTTGTGTAACTTCTGATAAACGCCGGTGTTTTAAAGATTATATTTCCATAGTTTTTTTTTCTTTAACACACTATGGTAATATAATTTTAAAAACAACATTCAGATAATTTTTAATTAGTAGATTACATTTTCTACAGTGTAATTTATTTTTAATTTGATTAGTGAAGTTTAAAAACCAATTGCGAAAAACATTTAGATGTATAAGTTTTGTTTTTAGCGAATTTCCCTATAGGGAATAAGCTATTACCGTAGGTCTCGTGGTAAGACTTAGTCCCAGGACCGATTTACTTTTTCATTTTGATGTCCCTAGAAGCCAAAAACACCATCCGTTCAAATTCATATATATTTATATATTAGCGAATTTCCCTATAGGGAATAAGCTATTACCGTAGGTCTCATAGTTAGGCTTAGTCCCGGGACCGATTTACTTTTTCATTTTGATGTCCCTAGAAGCCAAAAATACCATCCGTTCAAATTCATATATATATTGAAAGATATATATATTTATATATATATATATATGTGTCCGTTAGCACGATAACTAAAGCAAAAAATATCCGATTTCGATGAAATTTGGTACAAACGTGTAAACCTACGTTTATTTGAACGAGTTCGCGAACCACCATGATCGGACTATGGGAACGGGGTTTTATGGGGGGATTTATGGGGTAAAAATTGGTTTTTCTCATTTTTGACCCTCAAAACATGAAATTACCCAAATTTCCTTTAGGCCATTTTTAAGAGCTTAAAAAACAAATAATTCAGTATGTTGTAGTGTTTTTGTATGGTTATTGGTTATGGAGAAAATTGTAAATTAAAAATTTCCATGTTATTCTTATGGAGAATAACTAGACTGTTGTAATTTGCTTGTTTATGCATATATTTGGATCAAACTTGACCAATCTATTTATTTTATACCAAGCTACTGTGTTATTATTTTATAAAAAAAACACACTTTATTACCCTGTAGGCAGCAAACCTAGGTGCTTGTTAAACCTAATGTTATTTGAAATGGTTTAATTGAAATCAGGCAAATGGAAATTCGGTTAGTCTGCAGGTTTGCTGCAGCAGGGTTATTAATTAGTTTGGTTACAAATTCACCAAAAAAAGGGGTTTTTAATGGATATCCTTTACATTTTTTTTACTTACTTAAATAGGGCAAGCAGTACTGTACAGCATAAGACAAGCCAAAGTTTTCTTTAAATTGTAAGATATTTTAACATTAATACTATCTAATATATTTGTTTACTAATAGATGAACCATCTGAGCCAGAATGACAAATAATTTATTTTTGTAAAAAATACAGCCGACTTCAAATGCTCTAAAAAGAATTAAATAATTTCCATAAAGTAAACTTTTGTATTAGTCAAGCTCACGTATTTTAAGTCGGCGCGGCTCTATGATGATTTTTGATACAAAATTTAAAGAGGATGTCCACATTGCAGATGACTATCTATAACTAAAGGTGATTATAATCTTATAGTGATATTAACGAGTATCTTTAAAAAGATTATAATTAGTCCAGTCAATGAAGGCTCAAAAGGGGGGTGTAGAGGACATGGAGAGGGGGAAATTTTTTTTCTGCGGGAATGTGTTCGGGGTAGTTAGAAGATAAAAATACCAAAAGTCCCCGCCCCTGGCCCTGCTGCTTCAGCGGGGGGAGGGGGGGAAAGACCCCATTTTTTAGTTTTTTACTTCTACACTGAAAACCGTGCATCGTACGGAAAAAATGTAAATTACAAAAAGAAAGATGATGAAATTCTCTACAAGAATGGTTATATTCATTTCTTACGTATATGCATTAGTTTAAAAGATATTCTCAAAATAATATAAAAATTCTTCAATAAATTGATTTTTCACGCGTTTTTTGTCAAATAAGTTTATATAATCCATTAGCCTGTTGTTGTTTCACATCAATCAGGATAGAAAACAGGTTTTTGAACACTAACCTATATAATATAATATATCAATCGTATATATTGTGTTAAAAATAGTTTATATAAATTTAAATAAGTTATATATATTTGTCATGGAAACAAGTAATTTTTGCATAATTATTACATTAAAAATTAAAAAGATTGTGTTTGTAGCTATTTTTGTCCAGGTTTATTTATAACAATTACCGAAACCAAGACTTAATATTATTGTTCATGGTCTGGCTCACTTGGGACGAGAGGGTCCGACTTCTGTCCCAAAAACTGGTGCCATCTGGAACTGAAAACCACCATCTAGGACATTTCCATTATTCAATTCTTGTTGATTAGACTCAATATTGTCTATCAAAGTGAGAATTCGGCGTAGGCCTGTATATTCTTCATCTTCCTCATTCACCAGAATGGGCATTTCATGTAAAAAGATCCTTTAGCAGTTCTGGCATAACGGAGAACACTTATTGGAAATTTTCTTGCATGCACAAATTGCCCGTCTGGTACTGTTATAATCTTGAGTACATTTGCAAAAAACTTGGTTAAGGGATTAACTGTTCCTGGTTACTATAATTTTGGTGTCTCTGTTCAAATAAATATCTTACTGACTAGAGGCGGTCCCTTGAGAGGGGGGGAAGTTCTGATTAGAAACTATCTTTGTATATGATATTGTATAGTTGAAATTTATTAATCCAGTGCAATTAGGTTATGACCCGGACAAAATTGATAACAGGCTGAAAATTGGTGGAAATGTTCAAAACAATGTCCTGAGTGGCCCACACAAAGTCCCAAGAAATCCCAGTTGGGGAACGGCCGCCATTTTGAAAAAACTGCCGCCATCTTGGAATTTAGATTTCATGCCGTATCTTTTGAAGTAATTGTCCGAAAGACCTTATTTATGTCTCAAATTAAACGTTTTGGGCTCATGTATGAGGGTAATATATAATTAAAGAGTTTATTATGTTCTAAGCATAAATATTATTTACATTAACCTCAAAATATCTATAATAATGATATAGATACGGTTATGTCCCGCCTTTTATACGAATTGTGGATATTTATAGGCATGCAAGGTGGATGCGATACTCCCTGGTGTGGATTAACGTCCGCACGGGTGAGTACTACAACTATCCGCAGTACTTTCGTGATAATTAGACCAATTCGTAATTGCCAAGGCAAAAATGTGGTTCGGATTCCACTATAAACTGTAGGTCCCTTAGTTGCCATTAGCTGTATGGGCTATTAATTAACAGCTGTGTCTAAGGAATAAGTCGGTCTTAGTCACTAACAAGACTACAAGATCGCGCCACTCATCCTACACTCATCTCCATTCACACTTGTTTTAAAATACCTACTTTGTATGGTTGCCATTTCATAGAACAGTATTAACAGTATAGATATTGAGTCTGATGAACAAGAATTGGATTATGGAGAGACCATGAACAATAGTATTAAGTCTTGGTTTTGGTAGTTCATATAAATAAACCTGGAAAAATATAGCTACAAACATAATCTGTTTAATTTTTAATGTAATAATTATGCAAAAATTACTTGTTTCCATGACAAATATATATAACTTATTTAAATTTATATAAACAATTTTTAACACAATATATACGATTGATATATTATATTATATAGGTTAGTGTTCAAAAACCTGTTTTCTATCCTGATTGATGTGAAACAACAACAGGCTAATGGATTATATAAACTTATTTGACAAAAAACGCGTGAAAAATCAATTTATTGAAGAATTTTTATATTATTTTGAGAATATCTTTTAAACTAATGCATATACGTAAGAAATGAATATAACCATTCTTGTAGAAAATTTCATCATCTTTCTTTTTGTAATTTCCTTTTTTCCGTACGATGCACGGTTTTCAGTGTAGAAGTAAAAAACTAAAAAATGGGGTCTTTCCCCCCCTCCCCCCGCTGAAGCAGCAGGGCCAGGGGCGGGGACTTTTGGTATTTTTATCTTCTAACTACCCCGAACACATTCCCGCAGAAAAAAAATTTCCCCCTCTCCATGTCCTCTACAATCCCTTTATTGACTGGACTAAATGTATTTACATATTTCTAACTTGGAAAAGTAACGTTTTAATTTTAAACTAGCTTCTTTTCCCTATCATAATATCAAAATAAATAATTTTCCTATTCATGTAGAACATTTGTGTGTGTTATTTTTACTATGCAATCATTCTGAAGTAAACATAAAATACAAGAAAATCGAAAATACTTCCTTTGATATATAAACAAAACAGTTCAGTATGTTTTTTTATATATTTATGTTATCCAGCGATAATTTATTGATTTTAAAAATACTCTCTCAATATCTTTTATTTTATTCATATTTTTGCAGTTAGAGACTTGAAATACGTGAGCTTGACTAATACAAAAGTTTACTTTATTGAAATTATTTCATTCTTTTTAGAGCATTTGAAGTCGGTTGTATTTTTTTTACAAAAATAAATTATTTCATGATTTTTAGTGACTGTTTAATTTGTTATTTATTAATTACTTGAAGTTTTATGATAAGCAAAACTGTTTGAAACAATCAAAAGTAGAACAATCATTATTTTTAAACTGCTTAAGTCACCTGTTCAGGTTGCATAAT